CAACACAGCAGCAGCAACACAGCAGCAGCAACACAGCAGCAACAACACAACAGCAGCAACACAGCAGCAGCAACACAGCAGCAGCAACACAGCAGCAGCAACACAGCAGCAGCAACACAGCAGCAACAGCACAACAGCAGCAACACAACAGCAGCAACACAACAGCAGCAACACAGCAGCAGCAACACAGCAGCAGCAACACAGCAGCAGCAACACAGCAGCAGCAACACAACAGCAGAAAACACAGCCGCAGCAACACAGCAGCAGCAACACAGCAGCAGCAACACAGCAGCAGCAACACAGCAGCAGCAACACAACAGCAGCAACACAGCAGCAGCAACACAACAGCAGCAACAGAGAGGCAACAACACAGCAGCAGCAACACAGCAGCAGCAACAGAGAGGCAACAACACAGCAGCAGCAACACAGCAGCAGCAACACAGCAGCAGCAACACAGCAGCTGCCTCAACACAAAACATCACCAGAGATCACCTCGTCTTATGTTTACATTCTCAGGAGTCTACAGGTTCCTCCCGTCTCTCACCTCTGGCTTCTCTCTTCCTCCCTCTTATCCCCACTTCTCTCTCTCTCTCTCTTCTTCCCGACATTCTCCTCTCCCTCCATTCCTTTCACAAAGCCTTTCATCTCTTCATACATCTCTTCTATATCTGATGTCTGTTTAACCTTCATTCTCAACGTGGCCTGGTTGGCAACGCTCTCGCCTGCCACACTAAGTGTCCGTGGTTCAATCCCCGGCATGGGTAGTTATGTTGGGCGTGTTTCCCTATACTTGTTTTCCCTGTTCACCTAGCAGTAAGTAGGTACCTGGGAGCCAGTCACCTTTCACCTGCTGCCATTGTTCACCTAGCAGTAAGTAGGTGCCTGGGAGCCAGTCACCTTTCACCTGCTGTCATTGTTCACCTAGCAGTAAGTAGGTACCTGGGAGGCAGTCACTTTTCACCTGCTGCCATTGTTCACCTAACAGTAAGTAGGTACCTGGGAGCCAGTCACTTTTCACCTGCTGTCATTGTTCACCTAGCAGTAAGTAGGTACCTGGAGCCAGTCACCTTTTCACCTGCTGTCATTGTTCACCTAGCAGTAAGTAGGTGCATGGGAGCCAGTCACTTTTCACCTGCTGTCATTGTTCACCTAGCAGTAAGGAGGTACCTGGGAGCCAGTCACCTTTCACCTGCTGTCATTTTTTCACCTAGCAGTAAGTAGGTACCTGGGAGCCAGTCACCTTTCACCTGCTGTCATTGTTCACCTAGCAGTAAGTAGGTACCTGGGAGCCAGTCACCTTTCACCTGCTGTCATTGTTCACCTAGCAGTAAGTAGGTACCTGGGAGGCAGTCACTTTTCACCTACTGTCATTGTTCACCTAACAGTAAGTAGGTACCTGGGAGTCAGTCACTTTTCACCTGCTGTCATTGTTCACCTAGCAGTAAGTAGGTACCTGGGAGCCAGTCACCTTTCACCTGCTGTCATTGTTCACCTAGCAGTAAGTAGGTACCTGGGAGCCAGTCACCTTTCACCTGCTGTCATTGTTCACCTAGCAGTAAGTAGGTGCATGGGAGCCAGTCACTTTTCACCTGCTGTCATTGTTCACCTAGCAGTAAGGAGGTACCTGGGAGCCAGTCACCTTTCACCTGCTGTCATTGTTCACCTAGCACTAAGTAGGTACCTGGGAGCCAGTCACCTTTCACCTGCTGTCATTGTTCACCTAGCAGTAAGTAGGTACCTGGGAGCCAGTCACCTTTCACATGCTGTCATTGTTCACCTAGCAGTAAGTAGGTATCTGGGAGCCAGTCACTTTTCACCTGCTGTCATTGTTCACCTAGCAGTAAGTAGGTACATAGGAGGAAGCCACTTTTCACCTGCTGTCATTGTTCACCTAGCAGTAATTAGGTACCTGGGAGCCAGTCACCTTTCACCTGCTGTCATTGTTTTACCTAGCAGTAAGCAGGTACCTGGGAGCCAGTCACCTTTCACCTACTGTCATTGTTCACCTAGCAGTAAGTAGGTACCTGGGAGCCAGTCACTTTTCACCTGCTGTCATTGTTCACCTAGCAGTAAGTAGGTACCTGGGAGCCAGTCACCTTTCACCTACTGTCATTGTTCACCTAACAGTAAGTAGGTACCTGGGAGCCAGTCACCTTTCACCTGCTGTCATTGTTCACCTAGCAGTAAGTAGGTACCTAGGAGGAAGCCACTTTTCACCTGCTGTCATTGTTCACCTAGCAGTAATTAGGTACCTGGAAGCCAGTCACCTTTCACCTGCTGTCATTGTTCACCTAGCAGTAAGTAGGTACCTGGGAGCCAGTCACCTTTCACCTGCTGTCATTGTTCACCTAGCAGTAAGTAGGTACCTGGGTGCTAGTAACCTTACACCTGCTGTTACACCAGGATAAGATTAGAACGTCAGTGCGTCATCTAGGACTGTCTGTATTATTTCCATTCTGGTCCTTCAATCTTGTCCCCCAGGATGCGGCCCACACCAGTCCAGTAACACCCAGGATGCCACCCACACCAGTCCAGTAACACCCAGGATGCGGCCCACACCAGTCCAGTAACACCCAGGATGCGGCCCACACCAGTCCAGTAACACCCAGGATGCGGCCCACACCAGTCCAGTAACACCCAGGATGCGGCCCACACCAGTCCAGTAACACCCAGGATGCCACCCACACCAGTCCAGTAACACCCAGGATGCCACCCACACCAGTCCAGTAACACCCAGGATGCCACCCACACCAGTCCAGTAACTCTCAGGAACCTGCTAGGTGCCGTGAGACACTAGAGGATGTAAGGCACTAGAGGATGTGAGACACTAGAGGATGTAAGGCACTAGAGGATGTAAGCACTAAAGGGTGTAAGACCTAGAGGATGTAAGAACACTAGAGGATGTAGACCACTTGAGGGATGTAAGACACTAGAGGATGTAAGACACTAGAGGATGTAAGACACTAGAGGATGTAAGAAACTAGAGGATGTAAGACACTAGAGGATGTAAGGCACTAGAGGATGTAAGGCACTAGAGGATGTGAGACACTAGAGGATGTAAGACACTAGAGGATGTAAGACACTAGAGGATGTAAGACACTAGAGGATGTAAGACACTAGAGGATGTAAGGCACTAGAGGGTTAAGGCACTAGAGGATGTAAGACACTAGAGGATGTAAGGCACTAGAGGATGTAAGGCACTAGAGGATGTAAGGCACTAGAGGATGTAAGACACTAGAGGATGTAAGGCACTAGAGGATGTAAGGCACTAGAGGATGTGAGACACTAGAGGATGTAAGACACTAGAGGATGTAAGACACTAGAGGATGTAAGGCACTAGAGGATGTAAGACACTAGAGGATGTAAGACACTAGAGGATGTAAGACACTAGAGGATGTAAGACACTAGAGGATGTAAAACACTAAGGATGTTAAGACACTAGGGATTAAGACACTAGAGGATGTAAGAAACTAGAGGATGTAAGACACTAGAGGATTTTAAGGCACTAGAGGATGTAAGGCACTAGAGGATGTGAACACTAGAGGATGTAAGACACTAGAGATGTAAGACACTAGAGGATGTAAACACTAGAGGATGTAAGACACTAGAGGATGAAGACACTAGAGGATGTAAGACATAGAGGATGTAAGACACTAGAGGATGTAAGACACTAGAGGATGTAAGACACTAGAGGATGTAAGACACTAGAGGATGTAAGACACTAGAGGATGTAAGACACTAGAGGAAAGGGAAGGGACTAAAAGGATGTAAGACACTAGAGGATGTAAGACACTAGAGGATGTAAGAAAACTAGAGGATTTAAGGCACTAGAGGAATTTAAAACACTAGAGGATGTAAGACACTAGAGGATTAAGGCACTGAGGATGTAAGACACAGAGGATTAAGACACTAGAGGATGTAAGACACTAGAGGATGGGAAGGCAATAGAGGATGTAAGAATAGAGGATTAAGACACAAGAGGATGTAAGGCACTAGAGGATGTAAGACACTAGAGGATTTAAGGCACTAGAGATGTAAGACACTAGAGATGTAGACACTAGAGGTGAAAGGCACTAGAGGATGTAAGACACTAGAGGATGTAAGACATAGAGGATGTAAGGCACTAGAAAGGGTGTAAGACACTAGAGGATTAAACACTAGAGGATGTAAGGCATAGAGATTAAGACACTAGAGGATGTAAGACACTAAGGATGTAAGGCACTAGAGGATGTAAGACAATAGAGGATTTAAGGCACTAGAGGATGTAAAGGGACTAGAGGATGTAAGGACTAGAGGATGTAAGGTGGTTTTAGATATCAACGTAGCAAGAATTATTTATCTTAAGTTTGGGAACTACAAAACGTGTTAGACACAATACAACTCAGGTATTTACGATATATTTTTGATAATTAACACATATGCAACTCTTGGGGATCTTTATTGAAAGGAAAAAGTTTCGCCAACAGTGCTTCATCAATCCAAAACAAGGAAAAAAAACTTGAAGAACATGTCGGTTCTCTGAACCATTCATCTACAAATCTGTCAACACTGCAACTTCTTGGATCTTAATACAAATCTTCGCTGCCTAATTCTTGGCACACCTACTTCCAATTGAACCCAATGTGACACCACCTATTTCTGTGCACCTCTCCTGCCATACGGTTTATAAGCTGCTTCTCCGCTGATATGCCGTATTCTATTCAAGATTGATGGACTGAACACATCGACTCAAGGTTGAGGGACTGATTACCTCATTCTCCTCCTGTTCTTCAAGTTTCTCCTTCGTATGGACTGATGAAGCCACCGTGTGGCGAAACGTTTCCTCAATAAAGATACCCAAGAGTTGCATATGTGTCTAATTTATCAACATGTCGGTTCTCTGAACCATCCATCTACAAGATATATTTTTGGTACAATGTTCTTGTTACATAAAAAATAACTGTGGTAATGTTATACAGAAAAGAAAAATAAGAGTATGAAAGACCAAGTGATTGTCTTACCTCTCTCTTCTTCCCACTGCTTTTCCTTTCTTTCTAATAATGATAAGTGTCGCGTGGCGGCCATATTGTCTTTCACTACACTTCCGTCCAGGTGGTAAGGCTGCTGTTGTTGCTCGTGTTGTTGCAGTTGTTGCTCGTGTTGTTGCAGTTGTTGCTCGTGTTGTTGCAGTTGTTGCTCGTGCTGTTGCTATACCTGGTTGGTAGCACCGCTGGGGCGTAAGAAGTCATCAGCACTGGTGTGAAAGGACTCCTGAGCCTCGGAATTGTAGTGACTGGAGGTCACTATGTGGCCTAGAGCATCTTGTGTGGGTGTGCAAGTGACCTTACTGAGGGACGCGAGTGTTTCTTGTTCCGTTGAGGACTTGGCCACAAGTGTGTGTAGCGTCCTGAAGCACACCTCTCGAGAGATACACTGGCCTCAAGTGTGTGTAGTGTCCTGAAGCACACCTCTCGAGAGATACACTGGGCTCAAGTGTGTGTGGCGTTTCCCGAGCACAACCTCGAGAGATACACGGCCAAGTGTGTGTAGCTCCTGGAAGCACACCTCCGAGGATACACTGGCCTCAAAATGTGTGTAGCGTCCTGAAAGCACACCTCTCGAAGATACACTGCCACAATGTGTGGGAGCGTCCTGAAGCACACCTATGAGAGATACACTGGCTGAAGTGTGTGTACGTCCTGAACACACCTCTGAGAGATACACTGGCTCAAGTGCGTGTAGTTTTCCTGAAGCACACCTCTCGAGAGATACACTGGCTGAAGTGTGTGTAGCGTCCTGAAGCACACCTCTCGAGAGATACACTGGGCTCAAGTGTGTGTAGCGTCCTGAAGCACACCTCTCGAGAGATACACTGGGCTCGGCACTATCTTCCCTAGTGTAAGTTCTTATGAGTGAGAGGGGTTGGATTTGAGTGGGAGTTGCACCTGATTTAATAGGGTTAACAAAACTTATTCCTTAGGTAACATTGATAATGAGTTGAGCAAATAATTTTTAGATGGTTTGAGTTTAACAAGAACCTGCCAAGTATGGGCCAGTAGGCCTATTGCAGTGTTCCTCCTTTCTTATGTTCTTATAACACGTTCTCCTCAAGACAGTGTTTGGTGCCAGTGCCGGTGCCTCTGACCTCACTCTACATTCTTAAAAAATGTAAACTTAGTGTGCCAGATAACAGCCCTTTACTGTATGAGCAGTGACTAGCGTGGCGCAGATTCTGGAGGATTTCCCAGATGTCCCCAGCTAGAACCTCCGCTGTGACTTCGTCCCCGGCGCACTCTGAAAAAAAAATAAACAGGAAAAAAAACCCTGTAAATGCCGATACTGCAGTAATTTTGGCAGCAAAAAAATACAACAACTCATTGATTAAATTGAGTTGAGAGCACAACACGCTACTGAGACCAATTTAATGTGTTTTCTTTGTGAATTTATTCTTAATTTTACTTTAAATTAATGATCGTTGACGAAAAGGCACATTTGATTTAATAATTTTGTTATTAAATATTTTATATTATATATATATATTATTTATATATATATAATATTATATAATTTTAAAAAATTATATATATATATATATTGTGTGTGTGGTACTCACCTAATTGTACCACCTAATTTTTGGTTCAGGGTCGAGACCAGCTCCGGCCCCCCTCTTCACGTCGCTATGGATCCTTCTCTGCTTCCTGAGCTTTTTCAACCTTTTCTTAAAAATGTATGGTTCCTGCCTCCACTACTTCACTTGCTAGGCTATTCCACTTGCTGACAACTCTATGACTGAAGAAATACTTCCTAACGTCCCTGTGACTCGTCTGAGTCTTCAGCTTCCAGTTGTGACCCCTTGTCCCTGTGTCCCCCTCTCTGGAACATCCTATCTCTGTCCACCTTGTCTATTCCCCGCAGTATCTTGTATGTCGTTATCATGTCTCCCCTGACCCTTCTGTCCTCCAGTGTCGTCAGTCCGATTTCCCTTAACCTTTCCTCGTACGACATTCCCTTGAGCTCTGGGACTAGCCTTGTTGCAAACCTTTGTACTTTCTCTAACTTCTTGACGTGCTTGACCAGGTGTGGGTTCCAGACTGGTGCTGCATACTCCAGTATGGGCCTAACATACACAGTGTACAGTGTCTTGAACGATTCCTTACTAAGGTATCGGAACGCTATTCTCAGGTTTGCCAGGCGCCCGTATGCTGCAGCAGTTATTTGGTTGATGTGTGCCTCCGGTGATGTGCTCGGTGTTATGGTCACCCCAAGGTCTTTCTCCCTGAGTGAGGTCTGTAGTCTTTGTCCACCTAGCCTATACTCTGTCTGCGGTCTTCTTTGCCCCTCCCCAATCTTCATGACTTTGCATTTGGCTGGATTGAATTCGAGAAGCCAGTTACTGGACCATGTCCAGCCTCTCCAGGTCTCTTTGCAGTCCTGCCTCATCTTCGTCCGATTTAATTCTTCTCCTCAACTTCACGTCATCTGCGAACAGGGACACTTCAGAGTCTATTCCTTCCATCATGTCGTTCACATATATCAAAAATAGCACTGGTCCTAGAACTGACCCCTGTGGGACCCCGCTCGTAACAGGCGCCCACTGTGATACCTCTTCACGTACCATGACTCGTTGCTGCCTCCCTGTCAGGTATTCTCTTATCCATTGCAGTGCCCTTCCTTTTACGTGTGCCTGATCCTCCAGCTTCTGCACTAATCTCTTGTGGGGAACTGTGTCAAAGGCCTTCCTGCAGTCTAGGAAAACGCAATCTACCAACCCTCTCTCTCGTGTCTTACTTCTGTTACCTTGTCATAAAACTCCAGGAGGTTTGTGATACAAGATTTGCCTTCCATGAACCCATGCTGGTTTTCATTTATAATCTTGTTCCTTTCCAGGTGTTCGACCACTCTCCTCCTGATAATCTTCTCCATGACTTTGCACACGATACATGTCAGAGACACAGGTCTGTAGTTTAGTGCCTCGTTTCTGTTTCCTTTCTTAAATATGGGACTACATTAGCTGTCTTCCATTTCTCAGGTAGTTGCCCAGTTTCAAGGGATGTGTTGAAGATTGTGGTTAGAGGCACACACAGCATCTCTGCTCCTTCTCTAAGGACCCATGGGGAGATGTTGTCCGTCCCATCGCCTTGAGGTGTCAAGGTCACTTAAGAGCTTCTTCACCTCCTCCTCAGTTGTTCGTATGTCAATCCAACACTTGTTGGTATATTCCCTCTTGATGTTCCCTTCTGTTCTGTCTTCCCACAGCCCTTCCTGTCTCTACTGTAAAAACTTCCTTAAATCTCCTGTTCAGCTCCTCACGTACTCCTGATCATTTCTTGTGAGTTTCTCCACTTTCTGTCCTTAATCTGATCACCTGGTCTTTGACTGTTGTCTTCCTCCTGATGTGGCTATACAACAGTTTCGGGTCAGTCTTGATTCTCGATGCTATGTCATTTCATACTGTCGCTGGGCCTCCCTCCTTACCTGTGCGTACTCATTCCTGGCTCTTGCGACTGATCTCCCTATTTTCGTGTGTTCTCTGCCTTCTGTACTTTTTTCCATTCTCTATTGCACTTTGTTTTTGCCTCCTTACACCGTCGGGTGAACCAGGGCTTGTTCTGGTCTTCCCGTTGTTACTGTTGCCCTTGGGAATGAACCTTTCCACTGCCTCCTTGCATTTTGTTGCTACATATTCCATCATTTCATTTACTGGCTTTCCTGCCAGTTCTCTGTCCCACTGGACCTCCCGCAGGAAGTTCTTCAACCCTATGTAGTCCCCTCTTTTATAGTCAGGTTTTTCCCATTCAACTCCTGTTATTCTCTCCACTTGCAGCTCTACTATGTATTCAAAGCACAGAACCACGTGGTCGCTAGCTCCTAGGGGACTCTCATACTTGATGTCCTCAATGTCTGAGCTGCCCAGGGTGAACACAAGGTCCAATCTTGCTGGTTCATCCTCCCCTCTCACTCTGGTAGTGTCCTTAACATGTTGGTGCATGAGGTTTTCCAGCACCACGTCCAACATCCTGGCTCTCCATGTTTCGGGACCCCCATGTGGCTCCAGGTTTTCCCAGTCAATCTCCCTGTGGTTGAAATCCCCCATATGGGAATCTTTATTCAGGATACGTTTCGCCACACAGTGGCTTCATCAGTCCAATACAAAGAGGAAGGCGTAAGGAGAGGAGGAGAATGAGGTAATCAGTCCTTCAACGTCGTAACCGAAAATTTGCAAGAAAAACGTTGGAATGTGTACGATTATGGGAGGTGGTGATGATAATGACGAGTGAGAATGTGGTGTGGTATTGCTGCTGATGGCAGCATTGATGACTGGCTTACAGTGCCACACTCAGTGAAGACATCAACACTCAGTGAAGACATCAACACTCAGTGGAGACATCAACACTCAGTGGAGACATCAACACTCAGTGGAGACATCAACACTCAGTAAAGACATCAACACTCAGTGAAGACATCAACACTCAGTGGAGACATCAACACTCAGTGGAGACATCAACACTCAGTAAAGACATCAACACTCAGTAAAGACATCAACACTCAGTGAAGACATCAACACTCAGTAAAGACATCAACACTCAGTAAAGACATCAACACTCAGTGAAGACATCAACACTCAGTGAAGACATCAACACTCAGTAAAGACATCAACACTCAGTGAAGACATCAACACTCAGTGAAGACATCAACATTCAGTGAAGACATCAACACTCAGTAAAGACATCAACACTCAGTGAAGACATCAACACTCAGTGAAGACATCAACACTCAGTGAAGACATCAACACTCAGTGAAGACATCAACACTCAGTAAAGACATCAACACTCAGTGAAGACATCAACACTCAGTAAAGACATCAACACTCAGTGAAGACATCAACACTCAGTGAAGACATCAACACTCAGTAAAGACATCAACACTCAGTAAAGACATCAACACTCTGTGAAGACATCAACACTCAGTAAAGACATCAACACTCTGTGAACCATTAACTAATATTTTTAATTTATCTCTTCAAACAGGTGTAGTGTCTGATATGTGGAAGATGGCTAATGTAATTCCTATTTTTAAAACAGGGGACAAGTCGTTACCGTCAAATTACCGCCCAATAAGCCTGACCTCAATTGTAGGCAAATTACTAGAGTCAATTATAGCTGAGATTATAAGAAGCCATCTCGATAAGCATAGCTTGATTAATGATACTCAGCATGGATTCACAAAAGGCCGGTCTTGTCTAACTAATTTATTAACTTTCTTCAGTAAAGCTTTTGAGGCTGTTGACCACGATAAAGAGTTTGATATTGTTTACTTAGATTTTAGTAAGGCTTTTGATAGAGTTCCGCACCAAAGACTGTTAAAGAAAGTGGCAGCTCATGGCATTGGGGGAAAAGTGCTCTCGTGGATCGAGTCATGGCTCACTGACAGGAAGCAGAGAGTGTCCATAAATGGGGTTAAATCCGAGTGGGGATCTGTAACAAGTGGCGTTCCACAGGGATCAGTCTTGGGCCCGTTGTTGTTTATAATATATATCAATGATCTTGATGAGGGAATTACTAGTGATATGAGCAAATTCGCCGATGACACGAAGATAGGTAGGATAATTGATTCAAACGTAGATGTTAGGGAACTTCAGGAGGATTTAAACGAACTCTATTCTTGGTCAGAAAAGTGGCAGATGCAGTTCAATGTAGATAAATGCAAGGTTCTGAAGCTCAGGAGTGTCCATAACCCAGCACTTATAAGTTAAATGATGTAGAACTTAGCCATACAGATTGCGAAAAGGACTTGGGGGTTATGGTGAGCAGCAACCTAAACCAAGACAGCAATGCCTAAGCGTATGTATAAGGCAATAGATTACTGGGATTTATATCAAGAAGTGTAAGCAACAGAAGTCCAGAGGTCATACTGCAGCTTTATACATCATTAGTAAGGCCTCACCTAGATTATGCAGCTCAATTCTGGTCTCCATATTACAGAATGGACATAAATTCGTTAGAAAACATTCAGCGTAGGATGACTAAATTAATACATAGCATTAGAAATCTTCCTTATGAAGAAAGATTGAAGACTCTTAAGTTTACATTCACTTGTTAGACGAAGAATGAGGGGAGACCTGATCGAAGTGTATAAGTGGAAGATAGGTATTAATAAGGGGATATTAACAAGGTCTTGAGGATATCTCTCCAAGAGAGAACCCGCAGTAATGGATTTAAATTAGATAAGTTTAGATTT